TAGCGTTCATGTTTGTTATAAGTGTCCTGGTCCGGCTTGATTGTCATCTTTATTCGTGGTATATTTTATTTTACGAACATGCTGGTGATCAATGCAATACACTTTTGGTTAATAATGCTGCTTTAGCTCTGATCCTTTGTGGGATGTCTTGATTGTACTACTGCGATAGTGATTTTTCCTCACCAAAATATGCAGGCAACAAATGTAAATGCTGCCAAATGTTTGTCATTGCGTGATGTATCTAAAAGACATCAAGTTCCTGTACGTGGTCGTGTACTACGCAACCGGAAACTCAATAGGACGTGGAATGCTGTGAAACAAAACTACAGAAGTGAGGCTGGCCACGCCAAAATCAAATGAGATATGTCTAGCCTTTCTTCAGCCGCCAAGGCTTCGACAGACTATCCCCGGGTTCGGTGTCTCGGAACTACGAAGATTCAACGTCGTCCGGCCAATCCTGGTTAAGGTCAGCGGGGACTTAGCTGTGGTTATGGAACAGGATTGGCCGTCCGAGAGACTCCGAATCTGGGGTATGTTGCAGCACAGCTAACTATGTCGACCGAGTGCGTCGCAAGCTGCCCCACTCGACGAGAAAAAGTAAAACCGTCCCGTCCTAGGCTGACTAGGCTTAGCTAGGTGGCAGCACAGTCGCGCCGGCAGGGGGCAGTGCCACAACCAGCCGACTGATATTTTCGTGTGACGTCAGAACCGGTGCCTCCCTGCACTTTTCCTTCTACCCCACCACATCCTGCTGCCTCACATCTCTGCCCAGCTTATCCATCACATTCGCGACCCGCTCCGCCTCCACTCGCAGATTAGTTCACCACATCTTCCCCACAACCCGTTCAGCCGTGTCGCCGATCTAAAGCCGTCCCAAAGTCCTGCGGGCACCGGATCCAGCTCCTCCGGGAGCTCCGCACAAAACTGCCGCCCACTCGAATCGACCTCAAGTGCTTCAAGTCGTCTCGAATCGTCTCCAGGCGTCCGGAGGTCTGGGAGGGTCCCGCAGCGGAATAGATCGTCGTCACCGGCGCGGGTGGCGACTCACATTGGCTCGCAGGCCTGACACAGAGTAGGCTGAGCTCTGGGCCGATCGAACGACCGCCATTGACACAGGTGGGGATAGGGATGGGGGCAGGAATGGGGTGGACATATGGTGAACGGTAGGTGGACTAGCCGTAGACTGAAAACGGAAGGTGGCTGGTGGGGGACCTACGTATAGGACAGTGGATGGGGAATGGTGGCAATAGATATTCAGAGGCTAGAATTGTCGTCGTCACGGAAGTCAGCTGATTAGAACAGACCGTGGACGTTGATCTTCCGCTGCAGTGCACTACACTGGTTAGACCACAAAATGGTCAACTGACATACATTGTTCACCCTAAGACCACGTTGTGAATATTGACCGTCCACCGATGCCACGTCTGGGCCAATATCGTCCTGGCCCGTGCCAGCCGCCTGATCTCAGCCGGGCCGATCGGTCGGCGGGTGTGACCTGGTGACGGCGATTGATGGCCCGGGGGCAGGGAGACCGCACGGCGGCCGGCGGCGACCGAGGTCACCCCGCAGGGACCGATACCGGCCGGTCACCGCACTGAACGGCCGCCGGGAGGTCCAACTCCGCCTTTGGAGGCAGACACAAAGGTGCTTTATGTGTCATGGCGCGCGTGATGGGTAACAAACCAACTCCAGTTTAAATGTTATTGTTTAAATTAACGTGCCATCAGGAATAGATATGTTTGAGCATAAGGGGATATGTGATATCCTAAATTCTAACTGTGATAACTGATTTTTTTCGACTGTGAAACAAGTCTGAGCAAAAACATCATAGAAAGTAGCCAAGAACAGCAAAAATAGCTCATCGTCTCACGCTGCCTTGCACACCCCGGCAACTACCCTCGACTAATCCATCCCCTCATCCGACGCAGTCGGGCTCCGTTCCGCATTGCGGTATACACAGCAGACGACCCTGCGGTCCTCGCCCTCAAACGGGCGGAACACGTGACCACACTCAAAACTTTTTTACTACCTCCTGGAGAGTTCATTTTCATCAAACCCGCAAGATAATATATATTGAAAGGGTAACTCGCTGCTACCATTATGTGCATAGTAACGGTACGTGGTTAATATGAGCTTATTCGCCAGCGAAGAGTATCATTACCATGTAAATCAATATTACTCTCGCGATCCAGAACATCACGAAAACTCTTTCCTCCTGGGTATCATGACTCGGGTACAGATAGTCGTTTCATGCGTGGATCTTGTTTACCCTCGTGAAGATGATATTTGAAATGGAAACAATCAGCCAATCAGAAACGAGATCGGCCGTTTGCGGTTTGAAGACCGCGCGCATCGCGCGCATCTGTCAGTTTTCGGCCGTTGGTCTCCGAGAGCGGATGTGAGCAGTGTCGGTGCCGCGCGGCGTGGCCGTTGGTGATTGTGCTTGTGTGTGTGCATCGCCTATAGAGCCTCTGTGGACATTTTATTGTAAGTACCGATGTGCTAGAGCATTGCGTGCCGTTGAGTGGTGCTAATTTGACCTGGTTAACAGGACCCCGTGCACGGCCACGTGGCCTAGTGTTGTGAGTACGTACATTAATTTTGTTGTGATGCTACAAGTTTATGCATTTTGTTGGTGACGTTGAAAAAGCCTTGCACTGTAGTGATCCAGTCTCATTATCTCACGCAGACGGGCGACCACCCAGGAACGCCGTCGCTCACTTCAAATATTGTGCGCTCTGCCTAATCCAATATGAGGGCGCTGAATGTCTTGTATTCATATTCAAATTGCATTCAAGTTGTATCGTGGTGTTTATTTACCGCTTGTGCATTGCTGAACGCTTTGTATAAATTTGTATGAATAAGTGAAGAGTCTCACAATGTTCATGGTTGGTGTGCCCCTCGTATTGTTTGTACGGAAGCCAAATACACCTACATTGTTGCTCTTGAAACATTTTTTTAGTTGGTGAGCTCCGGTTAACAGAAGCTTCGTGAAGCTTCTGAAGGAAGCGTCTGTGGGTCTGTTACCATCCTCTGGGGGGTTTACACTAAAGGAAAGAGTAAACATTACCATGTGATAAAGGGTAGGACATAAGAATATACTCTCTGTAGGAGGGTAAAGCACAGAGTAGATGATGCGTTACTCCCTAAAAAAGGGTTCCGTTAAAGATTTACCCTTTCAAAGAGTGTAACCCAAAAATGTTACACTCTAGACAAGAGTAATCAAAAGAGTTTACCATTCAGAAGATGGTAAAAAACGTCTGTGTGTCATGTTACCCCTCCCTGGCGAGTTTACTCTTCATGAAAGAGTAAAATTTACCATCTGGAAGGTGGTAAAAAACGTCTGTGTGTCAAGCTACCATGCTATGGCGGGTTTACCCTTCAGGAAATGGTAAAAAAGTTTTCAGTGCAGACACAGGCCAAGCGAGGCCTCAGACAGGGCCATCTACCCTTAGTCTGTAGTCGCACGGACGTCATATGACCGTACTATAGGATGTCGTACGGACGTGAGACATCGCCCGAACGTCGTACTTACGGACGGCACATGGGGGACAGACTTCGCCAATGACAGACCGGAGGCCCCCCGGCCCTGCGATGTGAAGTACTGGGAGGGTCGTGTGTGTCTAGCTATGCGTATGCTCACTGATGGACGCACAAACGAGCCGTACCTGATCACCGTCGCGCGCGCGCGCCGCAGTGCTAATGTTTGGGGGCTGAGCCACTTGTGCCTCAGGGACCGAGGCTAATGATCTCGGGGAGCTCCTGCAATGACCCGGAGTCATCAGGGGGAAGGCGATAAAGCCCATATGGAGTCTCGGGTCTGACGAATAAAATACTATCCTGGCTCGCATTGTATAAAATGCTGCCCTACAGAAAGTTGCAAAACGCTCGCAATAGCACGTTACATAACGTGTCTACCTGTATTGTTCCGCTCCATTCAGTTCGTCGCTGTTAGCATCAACATTCAACGCCGCCTGACAATTCACACGAAATCCGAACAAATCTCCTCGGGCTCAAACACCCTGAGCGGCACGGCCACTGGCTACAACGGGCCCTGAACGATCCGAACGGCTCCAGCCGGAGTGCCTCGTCCGAGCGCCGACCGGCCCATGAGAGTAGGAAGAGCCGCTCGTTCCGGTAAGCCCGCCCCGTGGCCGGCCGAGCGCGCCGCTGACCATCCCAATTGGCACCCGGTCCGTCCCGACGGGGCCGAGCGAGCGCTCCGGCGTCGGCAACGACGGCTCCACACGCCCGTTCCGTCGGGAACGACGCACGGGCGCGCGGCGGCCTGGTCGGCGCCGACGGTGAATGGGTGGGTCGAGCCGCGCTCCCGCAGCCTCAGAGCGGATTGATGGGCCGGTGTATCGGTGTGGTTGTACAGCAGAGAGGTAGAGATGGGCGATGGGCTGACGGGAATGGGAGAGAAGGAGGTGAGATTGGTTTAGGCGGGTGAATAGGAAGCCTAGGTAGAGTAAGTGATATTGGGCTCAGAGGCGGCTGGCGATGAGAGGCTTCGCGAAGGATGAGGGAGAAATGAGGGCGGAAACCTATCTTATATCGGTCGTCGCTATTTGAAAGACATGGTTGTGTAGAGATTTACCCAAAAATGATGTAACCAAAACACTTAATGATTTATACATTAGCGCCTCGATAAAGCAAATAAAGGCAGGATACTTTTTGTAGGTTAGATAATTCAACGTAATTATGATATACAACCACAAACCAAAACAAGAACCAATTAAAAATATTACTAAGTTCCTAGCACCGACGGAATAAAGAATAATCCGTTCTGAGCCATCCCATATTAGACTGTCACCTAATTAGTGGATTTAACTGTCATTATATGTTCAGAGAATCCCACTCCACCGTGACTATCTCGTCGATCATTTTCACGAAGTCCTGGATTACTTTCTGTCCCGACTGACTGCATGCTTAGCTAACTTCCCCAGATCGACTCTGCAGCTTCCGGCGGATGTCAGTGACCCCCTTCTGCTCTTGTCCACAGAGATGAACGGCGCCAGCGGGCCGGGGGTGCTGTCATCAGGTCTTCTGGGCGTTTGCCTGCTCTCCGCGATCTCACTGTACCGATAGTAGAGGGCGACCAGCACCGCTCTGCGCCTGAGAGACTGGTAATGAACTTGACACTGCTGACATTGATCTTGACTGTCCTAGTCCTAGGGGACTAAGACATCGCCCTGGCGCAATGTCAAGCGAAAAACAATGAGCATTATTTAGGATAGATCGCTTGGCAGAGCAAGCACGTGGTTATAAGCTGGCGCACACCAACTGAAAACTGTACCATCAACAAGCATGACTTGCTGCCACGCATGGTTGCCCGAAGATGCGCACCCATCATCACGCTAAGGGCCCAGCTACCGTGAAGCGCTGAAGCGTTACCCAATGACAAACGACGTGCGTGTGACCGCACCAATTACATACGTGACCGTGCGTGTGACGGGTCGTGACGCGTCTCGTAACGGTCACGATCGTGGGTCATTACGGTCGTGATTGCATACTGACGTCCACTGTGTGGTCAATTGGCGATGGAAAGGATGAAATACTAGTGATGAAATGACCTCGTTTCGGCGAGTGACTCGCATCCAATGCCGAACGAAGATCGATGCCAATAAGCAGACGCTTTAAATTCATTGACCGTTTGCCCGGATATATAGAGAGACGTTTAAAGCTTCATATCACAGACGCTGTCGGGTGTGTTTAACAGCGTCAAACGGCTGTTAGAACTCATTTCATAACTCAATAATCGGGCGCCCGAATTGAGGAGGTCACGCCACACTTGGCGCCGACAGAGTTCCTCGGAGTTCGGACCGCCGATCGGCTGGCCGGTCGATCGACGGTCAGGCAGAGGGCGAAATTGGCCCGTGTCGGCAGCGGCCCGCAGCGGCAGCTGTCTCGGAGCTGGGCGTATAGCTCGGCTCCGCAGCTCACACTCGTCCCCAGAGCTTACACGACTGCCTCTCGAGCTTACATCGCTCGAGTGTGGAGCTAACCCCCTTTGCCCGACATTCCACAAGTCGTTTTGAACTGAGCAGTTTGAGCGAGGACCACATCTTTTCCAGGAATTAGCCCTCGGGTAATCGGAAAAGCCTTGTGGTCGCAGAATTGCAGCAGTTTCGGGGTCGGTCCTCAGGTTCGCGGTCACCAAGACCGTTTACCACAAATTGAAGTCCCCGTGGTAATGTCACTGGCTGAAGACATTACGTTTTACACCTCTATAACGACTGGGCCGTGTGAGGACGTGAAACATTGGATTGGGATTTGGGAATATCAAACGATGCCGTGATGAATCGTCATTTTCGCTGGTATCTCTCCCCTCTTGGATCCCTCTCTCGCCGAAAAAAAGGACATCGCGGCGGGCGGCCCGCGCATCGTTTCGCCTCATCACGGCAGCGGGGAGAGGGGAGGGGATGCGTATCGATATCGTTATCCCCTTATCCTCCCCTCCTCTGCCCCGTCGTCCGCGGCGGCGGCGTCTGTAGCGCGGCGGTGCGCCGGTTTTTGTCTCGGATTGGCTCTGACGGCTGGCACAGGGGACGCTACGCCACAGGGGAAGGCGGACGTTAGACGCGTCCGGTCACACGCGCCGGATTCGTCGGCAGCGACAAAAACGACGCGTCGCGATCTCGGCGTTTGTCGCGAAGATGGATGGCCGTTGCCACCGGGACGGCGCGGGTGGTCGGTCGTAGTGGAGATGTTCAGGGTTAGGGCAATGTGCGAGGCTAAACGGTATACGTTCTTGGGCTAACCGGCTGGTAAAACTGATAATCGTTCAATCGTAATTAAATGTTGGGCGCCAATCACTTGTCGCGGACTGGTTTGAAAGGAACGGTTTAACGAAATGCAACTTAAAGACAAACGGAAATGTTGTTACTTATTCAACACCTTTATGCAGTTTTATATATACCATTACGCAGCTTGCTGTGCGTTTTGTTTTCATTGTTTGTGTAAAAAAAAAAAACAAGACAAAAAATATCCTGTCTGACCTCTTCGAATTTAACCCGCGCCCTGCTGGGGGGGGGGGTTTGAACACCCCCCTTGTGTTTTTTCGCGAATATCTCAAAAACGGCGGCGCGGAGCGCCGCCGTTTTTGGTACACCTTATCATACATCAATTCTACACATGTTGTGAAAATTTCAGACCAAGGTCATTCAAGGTCAGGTCACCAGGTCACTTGAAGTGACCTCACCTCATAAAAAGTTTCAATGTCTGTCATAGCTACACCGAGTGACCGATCGCTTTGAAACTTTCAGCGATTGCTAAGAGCAATTGCATGTACAAAATGTATATCTCAGAATTTTGATATCGATGACCTAAGGTCAGGTCAATTTTGCGACCTCCCCATTATAAGTCAATGGGAGAAAGTTGAAATGCGCCTCTTTTGGACGAAAGACATTATAAACACTCCCAAACACTGAATTACAAGTGGTTTAGACACACTGAACATGAAAATGGTGTCCGTGACCCCTGTTTATGCCCTGAGGTCATCTTAGGTCACGAATGGTATCTAACAGTTTTTCGCAAATAACTTTTGATAGAGGCATGCTAGAGCGATGAAAACGCCTTAGATGTGTTCAGCTCGCCGATACGGATCGACTGATATGCAACATGACCCTTTCCGGTCAGGTCATGACCTTGACCTGAGGTCAAATTTTCAAGTTGACCTTTCAAGGTCAAGTTATAGATCATTCGATGCGTCTTGGCAACAGGAACACGATGCCGGTAAAAGTAAGCTCGTACGAGGCTTGGGTCAAAAGTTATTGCAGAAAAACTGTTTCCGAAAAAATCGGCTATTTTTGCAGTTTTTGCCCCCTGCAGGCAGGGTTGTATACGACTCAGTCAATAGCAATCAATTCAATCACGACAAATTTGGGAAACCAATCAAATCAATCAAGTCAGAGCAGTTTTCGGGAATTGATTCAATCGACTCAAACGCGACAATGAAAGGAATCAATCAACTCAATCAAACGACTCAAACCAAGACATACATTAGGTTTTTGCCCACCAACTTGGAAAAGTGTCCATAGCAGTCTGGTGTACCTACCTACCTACCTACCTACCTACAGAAGAAACATAAAAATATTGTCATTTAAAATTATAAATTGCCATGCCATTCAAAGTTTCTATGTAATAAGGAAGGATACCTAGTGATGGACAGGTGGATCATGATATTGAGGTTCAATGGGTAGAATTGGAGCAGAAGTTTCATTTAATGGGTGCAAAATAACCCAGTAGTTGACTTGCCCCTTAACCCAAATCACCACCTTTCACCTAAAAGTTGTCAATTTAATTTTGGCCATATTCCAACTCCATTTACACTAAATATCAGATATTGCAGTTGAAAGTTGACTGCTCGGATTTTGGCAGTGTTCGTGATTTGGCCATTTACCCTACACCATGTCTATTTCAATGGATTATATGCATCAATAACATATTAACCATAGGGAAATAGAAATAAATATCTTACCTGTATGTGACGGTTTTGGTTAGACAGAGACTGACGGGCAGCCTGAAAAATCTTTCCACACAATGTGCATTTGAGACGTGGGATGTTGTCAGATTGGGAAGGAAGAGATTTGAAGTATTTAGCGGTCCACGACTCTGGACGTGGCATGTCAATGTTAGGTACCTATGTGAAGAATTCAAAACATTTGTGTTTGAATTTTATTGCAATACAATTTGAAACTGTTAGGACTGGGGGATAGGGATGAGGGTTAAAAAATATATTTAAAAGGAAATGGAGAGGACAGGAACTCTGGAACCACAGTATAAGTTAAGGACAAAGGAAGTGGGAACGAGGAAAATTAAAACGCGAGAAAACGGTACGGTGCGACTGCATGAAAACGTTTTGCCAATAAGTATGCTAAGCTTTTATAAATCCTTATTCTACGTCTTTTGATTTTTTGGTAAGATGACGTCATTGATTATCATGTAGTATGGTAGATCATTATAAAATAAATCGGTTATACAACACCAATTTCGTTTTAGTTATTATTTTATTTGAAATAAAACCACTTAATAATATTCGGTAAAATATTTCAAGGAAAATGAAATATATTAAATATGTTATGCTTAGGCTCTCAGAGGAAAAGGATCAACAAACGTTCTGCTGCAAATTAAACAATGCAGCAAATTAGCTATTAATTAGGCACGTAAACGTAAATAGCGAGACGAAAACGGCGCTTTTGTTTCAGTTATTTTTGTAGGGGTTTCAGATATTTATGGAGTTCAGTGGGTTGTTTCTGAGGAGATGTGGAGATGTGAATTATTAATTAATCACACTTTATTAGTATATAGGGCCTTGCACTTTATCATCTGGATTAGAAAAAAAAAACGTTTCCTGCTGAGTGCAGAAAGGTAGGTAGGTGCATCGCCAGGTTCTATCACCAGGATTGGTGCAGTTATTGCAGTTGAAAGTCAAAGTTGGCTGTTCATGTTTAGGCCCTGTTCTTTATTTGGCCATCTACCCCATATTGCAGTTGTGATGACAAGCAGTTTTCAGTGTAGTTTTGTGATCTTTGATGTCATCAATTGGTGTCATTATTTTTCGTCAACTAAAAGTTATTTGAACTCTCCTTTCAATCGACTCAATCATACGAGTCACTCTAATTTTCAGGAATCAAATCAGTCAACCAGTCGCTAAAGTCAGACGAGTCAGTCAACCAGTCATCTCGAAAAGTCAATCGACTCAATCCAATCAACTCAAAATACGCGTTGAAACAAATCAATCAATTCAATCGACTTGATTGGTATACAACCCTGCCTGCAGGCAAAACCGTTGACGTTAGGTCAAATCTGAGAGAATTACTCAGAAAGGGCGTTAATTGGGCTATCAAATGCGCTTTTCCGCGGCGCTGTAGCTCTATTGGTTCCCGAGTTATGCGTTGGCTTCTTGAAAATTGTCGACATTCGACCTGAAAATCGGCGAAATTTTGCCTTCAATGACCTCTAGTGACCTGACCTTTGACCGGACCAAAAAATTGAACAGAAGTGATTTCCTTATTATTTTTGACGCTCTTTCGAACGCCGGCTTCCGCGTATCGCTACGTGGCCCAGGAGCCGAGTTAGAAGGGGGGGGGGTGTTCAAACACCCCCCAGCAGGGCGTGGAAATCCAGGACCCCCAGCCGGGCGCGGGTTAACCGAGACTGTCACGATCTTGCAAAACATCCCGACCTCTCGGATATTTTCCGACGACTGACGGTTCTATTTTCTCGCAGGCGACTGCCCATATGTGAGAGTGCTCTCGACACCCGGCTGACAATGCAATCGAAGCCACCTGACGCCAGCTGCCGGCTGCGAATCCAGTGTTCGGGACGAGGCCAAACGAATGGCTATATTTTGTGAAGTGCAATGATAAGCGCGTCGCCAAAGTGTCCCCGCCTTCCCGTCTAGTCCCAGGCGCGCTGGCGGCGTCGCCCCGCCCGCTCGTGCCGTTGTTTGTGCTCTTGAGTTGTTGGATCGCAAGAATTCAGTAGGAGGCAGTAGGATAATGATGGTAAACATACCAATGCGTATGTGAGTTGATACATCCTGTTTTGTTGGATACAGTAGCCAACTAATTGAAAAAGCAGAATGCAGTAGTTTGTATTAGGCAAGCCGATTCATGCTGTCTTAAAGTAATCGACATCGGTTCTCCTTTTTTTTTGCCACATTAAAGCTAGTATTTTGTCTTTGTCATTCACTTATCCGTTAACGAAATCGAGCCCAAATTTCATCGTAGATTTGTTTTCCTGTGTGTGGCGATATACAGTGGGCGTGCGTGAATGGAGTGTGAGTTTAGACGAATGTGGCGCATCAGCCTCGTTGAGCCCGTGAAACCTGAACGGTTTTCTGTGATCATCATGATATTCGTGTACGCTATTGGCGAGAGGCATTGTTCGTGATCCGGCTAGTCTTCGGTGTTCGAATATGTTGGGATGATCGTAGAAGTATACGAATGAGAGTCATGTTGTTTCGCTCGCTAATGGTTTTATTTCTCGCTGCGCTGCTGAACGTGTGTGTTTTGAATAAAAATGTATCAAAACCATAAAACAGCAATATTTTACAAGTGTTCATCGTTTTGCAACTATTCACTACCCAAATCGTGTGTCAACGACATTTTACTAACGGTGACAAATAAGGTCCAGCAAAGCTGTGTTTATTTCTCCAACAAACAGTACACGACACGCCTCAGTTTTGTTAGCTAGCGTTTCTCTGTTAAGTGCGGTCATTGGAATAGGTCCCACTCCGGTCGCTGAAACGGGGCCAAACGGTCCCCAGGTAGCCCAGTAACTGCCCTTCTCGTCTCTAGGCGTGCCAAACAGCCTCGACCCACGGGCGGTAAAAAAGCGCGCACCTGCCAGCTCTGGTCACGGCTCTGTCTTTGAGCCCCCGCTCCGGCCCGCCGAGAACGCGTGTCCCCGCGGCAGCTGAAAATCGCTGACATGTCACAGCGATGGGCGTGTGTAGGAACGAGGTTATTTGAATTCCGGCATCGGCTGCCGTGTGACGATGCTTTGGGCTGAATGCTGGCCTCAAATGGAATATTAATGTCCAATTTAGAACGGCACGGGTGTCATGTACCCAGCTCACGATTCTATTTTGAGAATATTACTACCTGCAATGTTTCCGAAGGAGTTCGTTATTGCCTCTGGCCTCTGGTAATGTTTTCCAGTTTTGCAGTCAGCTTAGGCGTATTTGACCCAAAGCTTCGGACTGTCGATGGCAATAACTCAGAGTATCAATCGAAGCAATGCTGTTATCGAATGTCACTCCGTCCGGGGGCTGGCACGGCCGTAAATTGCCACCATTGAGTTATTGCCTGCCACACTGGACGCATTTATCAAACGACTTCAAACGAAGGTAAAGGTTTCTGTACCAGCAGCGCAATATATCGGTACGGCTAAAACTGTGACGCTAAAAATAGGGAGTGCGATGACTGATGATGATTAAGAGGAAAATCAATAACTGAAGCCTGAAAAGTATCGTGCTCTCAGATCCCATGGAAGAAGCTCTTTCGGCACCTCTTCGCTTTGATATTACTGATAAGGGATCAACGATCCAATGGTATCATATAAATCACCAGTCACGTGAACCGTATGCCGCCATCGTTATTGTTTGTGTCTCCCGCTCCCTCCATCCCAAGCCCCTATTTCCAGCAGCACGCGTGACATGACCCCCGCAGGCGCGTCCGTGCGACGGATACCTCCCGTGGCTCTGCCATAAATCGCGCCCCGAGTGTCCATATCTCGGCGCGCATCAGTCGCTCGTCTCACCAGCGCGTCAATTGACGCCACAAAGACCGAGCCGGCTATCGGTCCTGTATCGCCGCTACAGGAAACAGCCGACAGCTCACTGTTCAGGACGCGTATATTCGAATCCAGTATGAGTAGAGCATGGGTCCCGAAAAAAATCTTCAGAAACTAGAGAAATTCTCGCGGGGCAAGACGTCTGTCAAACTAGCAGCGAGCAGCGAGCAGCGAGTCCAGCAGCGAGAAACGGGCCATCCCGAGTTAGCTGAAAATTTGCTCACAGAGCCTTCTCAGCACGCTGATTCCGAAAATCATGGTCTCTAGGGTGGGAATCTTTACCGTTCTCGAGATAGAACCCTCTGAAGTTCACCCATGACCGGGCCATCCCGATTTGGCTGAAAATTTGCTCACAGAGCCATTTTCAGCACGCTGATTCCGAAAATCATCGGTCTCTAGGGTGGGAATCTTTACCGTCCTCGAGATAGAAACCTCTAAAGTTCTTACCACCCATGACCGGGCCATCCCGATTTGGCTGAAAATTTGCTCACAGAGCCTTCTCAGCACGCTGATTCCGAAAATCATGGTCTCTAGGGTGGGAATCTTTACTGTTCTCGAGATAGAACCCTCTAAAGTTCTTACCACCCATGACCGGGCCATCTCGAGTTGGCTGAAAATTTGCTCACAGAGCTTTCTCAGCACGCTGATTCCGAAAATCACGGTCTTTAGGGACCGTTCTCGAGATAGAACCCTCTAAAGTTCTTACCACCCATGACCGGGCCATCCCGATTTGGCTAAAAATTTGCTCACAGAGCCTTCTCAGCACGCTGATTCCGAAAATCATGGTCTCTAGGGTGGAAATCTTTACCGTTCTAGAGATACAACCCTCTTAAGTTTTCGACACCAAAGACCGGGCCACCCCGATTTGGCTGAAAATTTGCTCACAGAGCCTTCTAAGCACGCTGATTCCGAAAATCATAGTCTCTAGGGTGGGAATCTCAACCCTTCTCGCGATAGAACCCTCTAAAGTTTTCGACACCCATGACCGGGCCATCCTGATTTGGTTAAAAATTTTCTCACAGAGCCTTCTCAGCACGCTGATTCCGAAAATCATGGTCTGTCAATTGTCAAATCGACCGGGCCATCCCAGTCAAATCGGGATGGCCCGCGCCGCGGTCATGGGTGGTAGAGCTTTAGAGGGTTCTATCTCGAGAACAGTAAAAATTCCCACCCTAGGGACCATGATATTCGGAATCAGCGTGCTGAGAAGGCTCTGTGAGCAAATTTTCAGCCAAATCGGGATGGCCCCGTCATGGGTGGTAAGAACTTTAGAGGGTTCTATCTCGAGAACGGTAAAGATTCCCACCCTAGAGACCATGATTTTCGGAATCAGCGTGCTGAGAAGGCTCTGTGAGCAAATTTTCAGCCAAATCGGGATGGTCCGGTCATGGGTGGTAAGAACTTTAGAGGGTTCTATCTCGAGAACGGTCAATATTCCCACCCTAGAGAGCATGATTTTCGGAATCAGCGTGCTGAGAAGGCTCTGTGAGCCAATTTTTAGCCAAATCGGGATGGCCCGGTCATGGGTGGTAAGAACTTTAGAGGGTTCTATCTCGAAAACGGTCCCTCAAGACCGTGATTTTCGGAATCAGCGTGCTGAGAAGGCTCTGTGAGCAAATTTTCAGCCAACTCGGGATGGCCCGGTCATGGGTGGTAAGAACTTTAGAGGGTTCTATCTCGAGAACGGTAAAGATTCCCACCCTAGCACGCGCAGTGGAAGGGTTGCGAGTACTACGCCCAGTGGAAGGGGGGGCGGATGTCGCCCCCCCCCTAAGATCTCAGCTCCCACTGGAGCTAGAAAGACGAAATTTGGAGGGTAGGTGGGGGCTATGGGGAACTCTGTTGTGTGTGAATTTCATGACCCTAAGTCAATATCTTCAAGGTCAAATGAGGTCAAATGTGGTCAAATCTGCCATATTAGCGACTTTTTTGCGTTTACACGCCGATAACTCAAAAAGTTACCGGCCGATTTTTTTAAATCTTTCACTATACGAAAGAGCAAACATTTGTGAGTATGTATGGTGAATGTCTAGATAATCCAACAATAAATATGGCAGTTAGAAGCCTGCTAAGGGTAAGATGTCGCCGGCTGAAGCGGCATCGGCCGACGCGGGAAACGCGGCAATCACAATTTTGTGTTTACACACTCATAACTCAAGTTGTTACCGGCCGATTTTCAAAATTCTTTGACCATATGATTGCCTGTACATTTCTCAGTCTTCTCACCGAATTTGACGCGAATCTAATATAATCAGCGGTAAGGAGCGCGATGTAAAGACGGAACCGTCCCGCCCCGGCACAGTCTACAATTCAGGCGGCGCGTAACGGCTAGCGCCTGCCGCCGCGCCGCCGCGGCGGCAGGATGTTTGACTTTACACCGCTATTACTAGAAAAGTTGTGAACCGATTTTCTTACTTTTTGCATGAGAAGATCCGCAATTCAATTCTGGACAGGTAGCCGAAATTTCACATTGATATTATGCTTGCGGCGCGAGTTATTGGCGAAAAACAGGAGGGGTGGGCGAAATCCGCCCCCCCTTCCACTGCGCGTGCTAGAGACCATGATTTTCGGAATCAGCGTGCTGAGAAGGCTCTGTGAGCAAATTTTCAGCCAACTCGGGATGGCCCGGTCATGGGTGGTAAGAACTTTAGAGGGTTCTATCTCGAGAACGGTAAAGATTCCCACCCTAGAGACCATGATTTTCGGAATCAGCGTGCTGAGAGGGCTCTGTGAGCAAATTTTCAGCCAAATCGGGATGGCCCGGTCATGGGTGGTAAGAACTTTAGTGGGTTCTATCTCGAGAACGGTAAAGATTCCCACCCTAGAGACCATGATTTTCGGAATCAGCGTGCTGAGAAGGCTCTGTGAGCAAATTTTCAGCCAAATCGGGATGGCCCCGTCATGGGTGGTAAGAACTTTAGAGGGTTCTATCTCGAGAACGGTAAAGATTCCCAATCTAGAGACCATGATTTTCGGAATCAGCGTGCTGAGAAGGCTCTGTGAGCCAATTTTCAGCCAAATCGGGATGGCCCGGTCATGGGTGTCGAAAACTTTAGAGGGTTCTATCTCGAGAACGGTAAAGATTCCCACCCTAGAGACCATGATTTTCGGAATCAGCGTGCTGAGAAGGCTCTGTGAGCAAATTTTCAGCTAAATCGGGATGGCACGTTTCTCGCTGCTGGACTCGCTGCTCGCTGTTCGCTTCTACATAGTTTGACAGACGTCTTGCCCCGCGAGAATTTCTCTAGTTTCTGAAGAATTTTTCGGGACCCATGCCCTACTCATACTGGATTCGAATATACGCGTTCAGGACTGGCTGCTGAGGAGGCTGACGCGAGCAGCTGCCGCGGGGAGAGCAGGGAGAGGGGAGGGAGAGGGGAGCGGAGGCTACCGAGGCCCGCCTGTGGCAGAAGAGTGCTGAGACCGCGTTCCTAACTATCGGAAGGACACTCCAGCGACGGAGCCGCGGAACGTGGCGTAGAATTAGGGGTGCTTGAACATGAGGAGACGGAGAGAGAGGCGATGAGAAGGCAGCTGAATAGGCTAACTAACGCAGGCGGCGGTGCGTTGCTTGCAGCTTTATAAGGCTACGCAAAAATGCGTATAAAAACACATAACTGTTGCCTCTGCCTATCTCTTAATCATTTCGTTTTGTGTTGTTCAACACCCAAGCAATCGAAATTCAGAACTCTCTCAACTCTCTCAAACTGTCGACAGGCATTCATCATGAGCCACACCA